AGACTATTATTTTTGGACGGATAAAATGATAAACAAGACTATTGTATTGAGACGGATGGAGTATATTTTTAAAAAAAATAACATTTAATACAAAATATTATTTTTTATCGATAAAATCACTTCACATTAGAAAAGTATCTCAAACTAAAACCCAAAACAAATGCAACATTTATATTTAAGAACTTTTCAAATTTGAATTTCATCTTTTCTATTAAAAAAAATTAAAATCTAAATAATAAAACTCCTGTCTAAACAGAAGTTTTTTTTTTTTTTTCTTTTTTGTGTGTCTTTAGGTACACTAATTGTAATAATAATCCTAAAACATTACTAAAATTAAATTGGGATTGATTATAGTGTGACATTACTAAATAAAAACCGACCGCAATCTTCCATTTCTATAATGTAAGTCTGCAATATATATAATAGGTGTGAATTAATTTAAATTTTTATAATTATAATAGATGTGAATTAATTTAAATTTTTATAATTTTATAATTAGTAATAATTTTTTTTTTTTTTTACGACCTTCAGCCGCACCTAATAATTTGTAAATTAAATCCGACAAAGCAAGTAACACTAGACAAACCACGTGACACACAAGACTTAATGCACAATATATGTCTCTTAAAAATATCATCTATTTACACAACACACTTTCGTTCATTCAGCACTATTCAATTTTTCAAAAAATATCACATCAAATATATTTTTTTTCTCACAAAATATCAAATCAAAAATTAATTTTTTACTTTTTCCAAGCTTCCAGAAATCTCTATCTAAACAAACTCAGATCTAACAAGCCCAATAAACTCACATTAATTGGGTTTAAGAGTTGGATTTGGATAAAAGGATTTGAGTTTGGACAGAATTCAGTAGACCGAGTTACGGATTACACCTCGAATGGCCAGGATTTCCAATAATATTCTAGTTTAATTGATTATTTTCATATATACAATAAATTCTAGATAAGATTTGGCCATTTGATTAAATTTATGAGCACAATTTTATGGCTTGTTTAGATGTGTTTAAAGTTTTGAAAATAGTAATATAAATTATTAATAAATGTTTGATGTATTTTTAAATTTTTGTTTTGTTTTCTAAATTGTAGTCAAATACAATATTTGATTAGATAAATAAAAAAAAAAATGTATATTTATAATTAAAAAGCATGGAAATCACATATTAAAACAATTGAAAAAAAAAATAGTACTCGAAATAAAAATTGCATTATTATTATTATTAATCACTATTTATTGTGTTTGCAAAATTAAGTATTAAGCACAAGGATGGACACAAAAACAGTAAACTTTATTACAATAACTGCTTAATCCATCGGATCCAAATCGCGCTAGACAGGAAGCATTGCACGCATCCGGTGACGGGCATTTCTTTCCGATATTGTCTGTACATGTTCCCGTTCTACACATTACAACTTGCGATTCAAAACCTGTAGTCGCAAATGAAAATAAAAGCGTTATTTGATATTATGTAAAAATAAAAGTAAAACAATTTATTATAATGCAAGAAAAAAATATATATATATATATTGTAAACTAGAGAGAACTATCTTTCCAAATTTTAGAGAATTAAAATATTAAACGGCAAAAATATAATAATAATTTAAAAAATAAATATATTACCAGCAACCAAGAAGATAACGAAAAGAGCAAAGAGGATTGTTGAAGCAGCTCTCGCCATTGTTTAGATTTGAATATATTTTTTGTGTTTTGAATATATGAAAACACCTATTTATAATATTTTATTTTTCTTGATTTACAAATCTAAATCAGATAAGTAAATAATCAAATCTGATTGAAGAATTATTATATTTGGCAGCACATTTCTAGAAAATTTTATTGACTATCTTTTTCTATCGTTTTACCCTTTTTAATAGCATTAGAGTATGTTTGGTTTGTATTACAAATGTAAATCTTACTATATACTCTCTCTTTAATTCAATTTTTTTAAAATAAAAATAAAAAAATATTATATTTTTTATTTTTTTATTATAAAAAGAAATTTTAATTTTTATTATTCACTTTTATTTAATAAATGTGTGTTAAGTCAAATGAATATGCAATTGATAACGGTGTTTATATCATTTTTAATAAAAATATAATAGTATTTTTTAATCATAAAATATCACATTAAAATGTTATTTAAATTAAATTTTAAATCAAAACCAAAACCAAACGAAGCACTAAAATGGTAATATAATCCACAGAAATTAATATAATTATATTATACCAATACTTTAAAAATATTTGAAGTATTAGAAACATAATTTAATAATATGATTTGCTTATCAAGTATTTAATTGTCATTGATACGAATTTGTATTTATGTGATTTGGAATATCTTCTTTTTATTTTCTTTATTTCTTATTATTCTTTTTTTTTATTATTATTCATTGTTTCCAATATAAATGTAATGCTTTTTTGAAAAAAAAAAAAATTAATACTCTTTCCGTACCATATAAAGTGTTCAGCATTTTTATTTTGGTTTATCCTATATAATTTATCATTTTAAAAAAAAAAATTATATATTTTAATCACATTTTTAAATTTTATAATCTACAATTTTATTAATCTTTATTAAATTATTTTGATATATTAATTTCAATCTATGATAATTTGTCTTATATTATGATTATTTTTATTAATATATTTTTTTATTATTTACTAGTTATAATCTTCCTAAATTCGGATATGTACAGTAACTTGAATATTTTATCGCAGAATGAGAGTATCACATATTCACTATTTTAATCCAAATTTAAAATTAAAATACAATAGTATTAAATACAAATCAAACACAATTTTACAAATCTAATAAGGGCCTATTTAATGTGTTTATCCATACTAGTAAGTTATTCTTTACCGGACATATTTTTATTATTATTTTTTATGACGTAAAAATCTGTAGTCGTTACTTTTCAAGTGCGCTTTGAATAAATCTACTGTTGAACTTTATTTCTTATATCTTGTTTCTTGTAAACATTTGCATTTGCTTTGTGAAATAGTTTAAATGAATATTTTTCATGTGTGGTATAAAAAATTGTGTAGTAATATAAAAATAATAAATATATATAATATATTAATTTTGAAAAAAATATACATGTGTAATTTATTTTATTTTGTTTTGTTTTATTTTTTTGCTAAAAAAACACACCCTGTTCTTTACCATTTGAAATCCAAATTACCATTGTTTATTCTACACATTTTTTACTAAAACTATATTACTTCCTCCGTTCCATAACAAAGTATTCATTTTTCCATTTTAGTTTGTCTCATAACAAAGTATCTATTTCCTTTTTTAGTAATTGTACTATCTACCTAACATTACAAATACCCTTACAACTTACAATATATTACACAAATGTCATTACCTTTATATCACACATACTAATAAGGTTATTTAGTCATTTCTATTGTATTCCTACTATATCCCAATATAATACTAATATTTCTAAAACTACGTACAAAAAACAAATGGATATTTAGTTTCGAGATGAATGGAGTATTTCTTTTCACAAAATATCACATTAAAATACTATTTACACAAAATACTCAAATCAATTTCAAACTACAACCAAATAAACTCGCATGCATATATTATATTTTCTAAAATTTGATTATCTCCGACAATATAATTAATTAATTATTATTCAAATTTATTATTAATTTATCTTTATAAATATAACTCAAATTTATTTCAAAATATAATGTTCATCTACATGCTTTTCAATCATATTTACTAATTTTTTATATTCAATTTCAATCATTAGATTTTTCTAAATTCTCAAATTCAATTTCAACAAAATGGCAGACAAAATAATACTTCATCCGTCCACAAACTAACGTCATACTTTCTTATTTAGAATATCCAACAATTATTGTCCTCTTTCTATTTTTATACACAAAATTTACTCTTTTACCTTTATTTTATTTACTCTTTCATTTTCTATACACAAAATTAAGGACAAATTTGTCATTTTATAACAAAAAATCCTAATTGCCTAAAAATACTTGTAAATATCAAATATGACATTAGAAAATGGACGAAGAGAGTAGCATCTTTAACTAGCTCTTTAACCAAACTGTCTGAAAAACAAATATTCTTTCGGCGATGCATCAATTCAAATTTATTCAATTATATAAATTTTTAAGTACTAGTATTATCATAAATTTGAATAATTTTAATATTTTAAATATATAATAATAAAATTTATATAATATTATCACAGTTTATATAAATTAATATCTTAAATTTAAAATATTAATATTATCTAAAAAAATATTGGTTATATATTATTAGACAAAAAAAAAACTGTATAAAATAATAAAAATAATAAATCGAAAGTGATGGTAATTGTTATGAATATGATGTATATGAACAAACCTCGTATTGTATAGAAATTATTGTTATCATTATTATCACTCCATTTGTTTCATTAAAAGTGTTTAATAAAATAATTATTATATAATAAAAATAATTATAAATTAAGTTTAAGATAGCTAAATAGTTTAATTAATTATAAAAAAATTTAAATTTTAAATTTTAAAATTTAAAACGAGATTAAAACGTATAATTATATTTTTTTTAAAAAAACAATTTTGGAACGAACAAAAATAGAAAAAATATATTTTTATGTGAAAATGAAGGAATATTGTTATTATTATTATTATTATACACAGCAAATCTATCATTTTTTCTCTTCTATAACAATATTATACAAAGACTAATGTGCTTGTACTAAAAAATTTCAATTATTTATTATAACAAAAATTCTAAATTCAAGTTATATAATGGATCATTGAGACAGAAATGTCAGTTAGTAGTAATTTATTGAAGTGGCAAAATAACGAAATATGAATTTGCAAACCACATGAAAGTCAAGTGCTCGAAAACTTTACCCCATAAATTATATAATTTAATACAGTAATAATAATAATAATAATAATAGTTACCCGACATAATATATAATTCTTTCACTGCACTTTAATTAATAATAATTATTATTTATAATTATAATAATAACACCGGAAATTACAAGAAATAGATAATCTATATATATATATATATATCAAATCTTGAGAGCATCTCTCTCGACTTGCTGCTGATTATCATCCGACGGTTGGGAAGCGACGATCGATTCCAAACCAACCTCAGCCGTCGATGCATCCACCGCAGCTTTGTCCTCTCTATTCTTCCCCCAAAGAAAAGCATACAGCCCGCCAATCAGCATGACTCCTCCCAAAACACTGCACACGTCAGCAATGTCAAATGTCCATTTTGCCCTTCGTAATAACAGCATCAACAACTTAGAGCTGTTAAAAGAAATTCGGCTCGATTCGACTCGGTTAAAGCTTCTTCGCGCATGTTAACGAGCCGAACTGAACAGCATAAACAGATTGTTCGCAAACGTTCGCGAACATTCGTTTAAATAATATATTTATTATAAATATTATATATACATATAAAATTATAATATATAAATAAATAAAATATTAATTTAAAATATATAATAAAATAATTTTAAAATTTCTTTATAATTTATATATTAATGTAAAAAATAAAACAAACGAAGGAACTCGAACGATCTTAATCGAGCCGAACACGAACACAAGCCCAAACAACAAAAATTCTTAACGAACCGAGCTCGAAAGCTTAACGAACGAACACGAGCCTTGTTCACGAACGTTAACAGACACTTAAAATTTGGCTCGGCTCGAATCGTTAACAGCTCTATCAACAACAGAAAAAATTCAAGGAATTTATGAATGCAATAATCTCATCAAACAAACAGACCTTCCCCAGTGCAGAGATTCATGGAAGATTAGGGCAGAAAAAATGGCTGTAAGGATTAACGACAAGGGACTGAAGATGGCCGTAAAGACAGGGCCACTCTTCCCGACAACCCAGACTTGAAGCGAATTCGTCACGCCGGTGACGAGAATACCCTGCAGACATTAATGGTTTCGACATAAGCCGAGACTAATCTAGAATCAGTGTCGAAAAAAGAAGGGACGAATCAGACATACGCAGAATATAACGGTCAAAAGATTGACATTCCAGCCGAGCTTCCATGACGATGCTTGCCTTTCGACAGCGGCTGCATAAATTGCCGACGTTACGCAGCTGAACCAGCATTGTAGAGTGGTGAGCCGCAGCGTCGACGGGTATTCCCTCAAAATCGGAGTCTGTAAAATAAAATGACATTTGAATTCATCACAACATTTTTCTAAAATTCTGAAAATTAAAAAATATTCTAACATGGTATCAGAACCGACCTGTACGATGAGCCAAACGGCCCAGACGAAGAATGCGGCGAGCGTGAGAAGCGAGCCTTTGATCCACTCTTCTTTGGTGTACCTCTTGGCAAATGCATGTGGGGAATCGCTTTCGACGCCCGCGTACAGATCCGGGCCCTTGTAGAATGTAAAGACCATTGCGCCCCCGAGGCAGAGTGCCGATCCGACAATTTTGGCCAGGCCTTGTTTCTGAGTTATGGACATGGTTTCCATCCTATTACAATCGACAAAATAGAATTAATGTAAATATATATATATGTATATTCGAATGGTTGTAATGGGTGGGTATAATATTACCTTAAACAGATGGCGAGGATGAAGACCATTGCAGGAATTGTGTTGTTGGCAACTGTAGAGAATGTTGCCGAGACATACTTCAACCCGGCGTAGTAGAGGTTCAGTGAAAGCGCCATCCTGTATCAATCGATATTGCAACAACTTTAAAAACAACGCACCAATGCTAAAAACAAACCAGTTCGAACATACCCGCAAGTCGAAATTATGAAAATCTTGAAGAGCAAACACAATGTAAGCCGAGGAGGCGTTTTCCTACACACCATCGGAAAAAAATAATAAAAATAAACCAATTAATACGTGCACATATATATAATTAGATGAGATAAGAGAACAAATTAAACAGTAATTTTCTAAACCTATGAGAGAAATAAGCAAAAGGAGCCAAAGCAAGAGTGGCAATGGCCTGTCGATAGGCGACAAAGACAGAAGCTTTGGTCCCGGCAGAAATGGTGGCTTTGGAGAGGAGAAACATGGCAGTGTAAATGAACTGAGTAACGACCATTGCAATAAGGGGCATTTGGTTTTTCATGCCCATTGTGCACTTGATGATCACAGAAGAGGAACCTTTGTAATTCATCTTGTACGATCAAGTTTAAAGAACTATGACTATTGTTGTTTTTTCTGGTTTACAAAAAACTCTCCCGGACAATCCAATTTATAGATGAGATGATTTACATGTGATGAATATTGAAGTATTTGAGTGCATGGTCTCACGACCACTCGAAGAAGAATTTATTCCACCTTGATTTGTAGTTATATCAAGAATAGTATTTATTCCGACACTATTAATTATACGGTGGGTTCAGTAACTAGTGTGTCCGTTCAATGTGTTGCAAGAATTTAGCAATGGATAAAAGAATGTTTCGATGTTAAAATCAACATTAGTGCTTGCCGCTACAAGTAGTAATTTGTACCTTATCTTATGACTTATATGTTATCTAAGTCTAATTAATGAATATGTTCTCTAATTCATTGAACAATTTGCAACGATACTTAAGTAGAGTTAGCTTGCGTAGTTTTGGATTTCCATTTCGTACTTAAATGCTTTTAGTTTTAATTACCCAAAAGTTTGCAATACTTATATTCGTAATGGTTTCAATCAAAAGTCAAATTTTGTATATATTGGCCGAATTCAGGTAGCTAAAAAAAATGCAAGGCAAATGAGTGAGACTTTAAAAAAAGCAAAAAAAATTCCTATGCATAAGCATCAGCAACATCAGAAAAATCGAAATAAAATTATACGGGAAAAACAGATGATGGATCGAAGAAACTTACCCGATGTTAGATTTGACGTCGCCATCCATGGCATCCATGTAATGTAGCATGCCATATTCAAGTCGGATAATCTCTGGAAAAAAGAAAATTGATGAGGGGAATAAATTGATTCACTATTCACAATGCAATGAATTAAGGGGAAAATGAAAACTAAATTAACTTCCAAAGCAGAAATTGATATGACAGTCGAACATATCTTGCTAAAACTTACATGATGATGCTGTAAATTTTGCATAAATGAAAAAAGAAACCCGACAATGATAATATGCGCGAAAATATAAACTAAACGCAACGTTTTAACATAATGCCAAGATGTCATATGAAAGAATCTCTACAAGTGCTGGCTTTCCACAAAGATTACGACAGGTTTTCATATGCTTATCATCAAATCTCACACTTAATAGGCAACCAAAGAATGAAATCAAACAATGCAAGAAACTGCACTAATACAAACTTTCGAAGATATTTCAATTTATTCTTCTACGGAATAAAAACTTTTAAGCTCACTTCATCGACAAGCCTCATGTAGTCATGTACTAAATGTACTGTCTTCACTATGGCAAAAAGATCGAATGCAAGATCAGAAGGGTCACCTCATTCCTCATAGGCCTACCCTCGCCGCCTTGCCTTGTTCCTTCCTTCCCCCCTGTCTCGTTAATGGCGCCACAGACTCAACAGTGAGCATTCAGTCAAGCACAGAATTAAGAATCCAGTGGCTCCTAATTAAAAAACTATATTCCTAAAATTTTGAAAAATATGATAACCATCCTCAATCTATAAGAATTTCTAACAAACTGTTGGAATTTATTCATTGGATATGTCTAACAGATCAGATAAGCCTCAATACAGATTGAATTATATGGTCCACAGAAATATAACGGTATGAGAAACATGATTTTATTTTGTTTTTTTTAATTTATCCTTGGAATCTAACAATGAAATGATGATTACCTTCTGTAATAGAGACTACACAGAATTTCCATACAGAAGTTGGAATCCAAACAATTTTTGAGATTTCAAATGCACACACTAAAAATTTCAGGTTATTCGAAGCACCAAATCTAGTCCAGTTATTCTCACTAAAGTGGAGACAGACTAACAACGTATGAGATAAAAGATGAAATCTACACCAATGAAAGGGACGAGCCAGTGTGTGAGGAATCTTACTTGCTTTCACGCATTCAGCCTACTTGAACATCTTCATCTCGCTTGTCTGCCGCACGCTATTAGAGAAAAAGTTATCACCACAAACAAAAACGGACAGACCGATTGCTTTATCGCCAGCACCATTGATTGGCCAGATCGAACAATTTCAACTTTCTTATGACCAATTTCAACGCCTTCCTTGGTTCATCCGGTTTTTTAGGTCTTGCTTCAGATCCAATCGCCATTTCCGGCCCCATCTTGTAATAGATAATTTGATTTAGGAGTATCGTATTTCTCCCGATCAATCAAACCGGCGGTTCCGGAATCGAAAATGGGTGGTGAAGAGGAAGAAGAAGGAAGAAATGAAAGAATCGAGGAAGAATGGAGATAGAGGAAGAATTTTTTAAATTTTAATTTTATTTAATTTTTTTAAAAAATTACGTGTCTTTCAAGGTGCTACAAAATTATTTCTATACAAATTTAAGTTACAAATAAGTACTCCCCGTCCTCGTATATTTTTGGGTTTATACGAAAATTTAATTAATATATAATTAAAAAATATATTAATAAAAATAATTATAAATTAATATTAAATAAATAAATAGTTTAATTAAAATTAAAAAAAAATTTAAAATTTAAAATTTAATTAAAGTATATAATTATATTTTCAAAAATAGAAATAACAAATTAGGTGGACGAACGAAAATAAAAAATAAGGACAAATAATGTGGAAGAGCATTAAAATGATAAAAAAAAAAATCTTATAAGATTAAAAAATCAGTTCTCTCTAAATTAAAAATAAAATGAATTTAAATAATCTTTAATAAGTATTTAAATAATCTTTAATAAGTATGTGTTTTTATTTTGTATTTTGTATTTTAAGTTTGAGTTTATTTTTTATAGGAGGAAGATGATATATACTTAACATTTTTTTTATGTTGAATTCTTTTATTTTTTAAATTTTATATAATATATATGTTATTTAAATATTGTATATATTATATTTTTAATAATATTAATTGAAAGGACTTCAAAAATATTTGGTTTAAATAATTTTATTGTATTAAATCTTCAATAAACTTGACATGTATATTCTTTCAATAACATTTTTTTATATATATCACACAATTAATACTATGAAAAAAAAATTATATATTAGTAAAATTGATAATTTAATATAAAATATTATTTTTATATTACATTATCCATCATTTCTTCTTATTTAATATAAAAAATATATCAAATTAAAAATACAAAACAAATACACTCATAATATATATTCGCAGGCACTTGCATATTTTAATTTTGTATAATTAAAAGAAACATAGAACAATTTTGTAAAAAATTTATATCACAACTTCTTGTTATGACGGTTACATATGTAATATTTGCAAAAAAAAATAATTATAAATAATTTTTCGTGACTATTGGAAGAAGTGACTAATGCAACGAAAATGTCCAAAAGTATTACTATTTTGTGTCTTTTGGCCATTTCATCATAAATATTATCATGTAATTTTTTTTGTGGCTAATTTAAGTTGCAGCACAAATAATAAAAATATTTCTAATATTTTAAAATATTACAAATATTATCTTGTTATAATTTATGTAACTTTTTAAAGTCATGATATACGAAACAAAAACATCCACAACTTTTTTTTTACAATTCACACTTATTCAAAGTAACAATAGAAATAACAAAATTATCTTCAATATATTTTTTTTTCTTATATTGCAATTGAATAATTTGTGTAACTATTCATTATTATTTAAAATTATTACATAAATATTAAAATATTCGCAACATTTTAGTTATGCATATATTTAAAAAAAAAAAACAATTTTATGACTATTTGCTCCAACTTTCCTAATATTAAAATTTCAATTAGTAAAATTGCAATACTTTATTATAGGATTACTAAAATGTAAATAAAAATTTTAAAAAGTACAATGTACAACATACATACCTACATAATAATAATAATAATAATAATAATAATAATAATAATAATAACAATAACAATGAAATCTTAATGAGTCATTAAAAAAAATCTCAATTAGTAAATTTGCAATAATTTATCATAGGATCGCTTAAATGTAATTAGAAATTCTAAAAATTACAATATACAATGTACAACATAATAATAATAATAAAATCTCAATTAGTCTTTAAAAAAAATAAAAAAATCTCAATTAGTAAAGTTGCAATAATTACATAATAATAATAATAATAATAATAATAAAATCTCAATTAGTCACAAAAAAAAATATATCTCAATTAATAAAATTCAATAATTTATTAGAAGATCGCTTAAATATAATTAAAAATTTATTTGAGATAGAGTGTTATTTAAATATTAATTTAAATAATATGTAATATTTTATGGAAAAGAAATAATACATGGTGATATATATAGTAATATTTTGAATTTCATATTAAAAAAACTCTAAATGTCAATAATAATAAAAAAAATACCAAAAAAAATCATTATTTTATATAATAGTCATTCTATTCTTTATTATCTTACCATAAGAATATTTAAAATCATAAATAGTAAATAATAATAACACACTTACTTAAAAAATAATAATAATCCGAAAAACTTAGCTATAAATAAAGGGTTAGAGAAACCATTTAGATGTCAATATTCAATAAGCTATAGTTCCATATCAACATGGCTAAACATTTCGTCGTAATTTTTCTCGTGCTCTTGGTTTGTTGTAAGTCCTCGATCGATCGTATTTATGACGTAATTTTAAATATTTGTATTTATAATTTTTTATTTTTATTTTGATTTATTTCAGGGGAGACAACGGCGGTATTTGGCAAGACTTGTGATGTATTGAATAACGATATAAAAGGACCTTGTGAAGAGCTTCCGTGCATCCGTTCTTGCCACAGTAAAAATGCAATAACTGGATATTGTAAGATTAGGGAGTCCCAATGCTTTTGCATTATAGACTGCAACAACACTGTCCAACTTATTTAATTTTTATTTAAATATTTATACATTTTCAATTGTATCACAAATAATTCAGTTGTCTGAAATTAGTATATTGTCTTTGTTGTTGTTCTTTTCTTTTAATTGCAATCACTTTATAATATATATATATATATATATTCCCTCAGTCTATTTTGTAATGTTTTATTTGATATTTATACGGTATTTTTAGGCAATTAAGATTTTTGTTATAAGATGACAAATTTATTTTTAATTTTTTGTATAAAAAATAAAAGAATAAGTAAAGTAAGGAAAAAAAAGTAAATTTTATGTATAAAATAAAAATTGGAGAATAATTGTTGAACATTCCAATTACGAAAGTAGAACATTAGTTTATGTATAGAGTGGGTAATATATATTCTGTTTGATTGTGGATTGAAACTTGAAAGTTGGTTCGTTTGTATGTGAGATTTTGATTTTGGTTTTAATTTTATTATTTTAAATTTCTATATCTTTAGACAATCAAATTAAATATTTATTTTTTTATTTATTATATATTGCATTAAAAAATAATTTTACATTCAAAATATTACATTAATACATATTTATATTTCATTAATTATTTATATCAATTCAAAATTTTATTATTTAAAATTAAAATCAAACCAAATATTTATTTTATATTTATTATACTAAATTAAAAATAAATTTTTACATTCAAAATATTATATCAATATACATTAATATCACATCAATAAACTATTTTAATTCAAAATTTTACTATTTAAAATTAAAATTCAAAATCAAAACCACGCAAACAAAACACACCCAATATTTTTATTTTAAACAATTTTGATTTTTTTGGATGAGGTTAATTTATAATATCATGCTGATAAGACTACTATAAATAACACTCCTTGTGTCCAATACAATAGTCTTGTTTGTTCGTCCCAAAACAATATTTTTATTTTTATAAATAATTATATCACCGTAAAACTATCCCTATTTTTTCATTTTTATTACACAATTTCTCCTATTTTTTCATTTTTATTATACAATTGTCACTATTTTTTACACTAATATATTCACAAGGGCAAAAAAATCTTTTATCTATATTTTTTACCAATTATTAATATAATATCAATATTTCTTAAATTTTATGTCTAATCTAATTAATACTATATTTATGGGACGGAGGGAGTATATGAAAATATAATAAAACTTTACACGTTATATAAGGTATTTGTACCATTGTACGTGTTATACTGCTATTTGTTTTATTTTATATATATTGTAAATTTATATAGACAATGTATTACTTTTTTTCCATTTTATTTGCTCACTATTTTCATATCAGTTTGTCCTACATAGATTCTCTTTTTCTTCCTTTGAAAATATAATTATAGATTTTAATCATATTTTAAAATCTATAATTTATAATTTTTTATTTTAATTAAATTATTTAATCATCTTAATTTTAATTTATAATTATTTTTATTATATCGTAATTATTTTTATTAATATATTTTTTAATTACTTACTAATTATATCATACTAAAATTTCTGTGTCCCAACTAAGGTGGATAAATTAGGTAGAACGGATGGAGTATATTATTATGCTATGAGAACGGTGAAATCCGCCAAAGCCAAACAAACAAACCCCATGTGTATATCTGTAATAAATTAATGTATCGCAGGTCATTTATTTCACCAAAATTGTTCCCAACAAAGTGGTTAGTTATTGCCTACGTGGAACTTGCTGCTTAATCAATGCGTCACTGTTCTAAATAAATTTTATTGTCGGTCGTTTAAAGGACTTATTGTCATTAATTAACATCGTGTTGAGAATTATAGATTTTCTGGTCACCTGCCGCACATTGTTAGTCTAGTGTGATTTTTTTGTCGGATCTGATTTGTAGGGTATTAAGTTCGATCAGGGATTTATCTGGTACATATTTTTGGATAGCGATTGCGGATTCCCATATCATTAAAAAAAAAAAAACATTTATTACTCACTTTGTTGTTCAATTATGTATTCAGATATTTAGACACGAACTTTAATAAAAATATATAATGATTCTTAATTTTTTATTTTTATAATAATAATAATAAAAAAAAGAATATATTTTTTATGACAAATTTAAAATACATATATTTAAATGATAAGAAAAGTATATAATTTACTCTATATCAGTGAAAGTGATATGTGAAATTTCTATATTTATAAGTTACAAAAGGATTTCACAAATATCTTATCTTATTTTATATAAATATATATTAGCGGATAATCCGTGCTAAGATCGAGTTTATGTAAACTTTTGTTTTTATATTATTATTTTAACATATTATCTTTATTTTAAAAACATTTCATATAAAAATACTGATGGTAATCTTTATTTTTAATTTATATATTTAATTTTTTTAAATATATTATTTTTTTAATGTTGTAGAAATTGAGACTCTATTCATTCAATATTTTTAGATGATTGATTTTTTTGTGTAATATAAGAAATTATGTCAAAAATATAAAGTATACTTCATCCGTTTCTTATTGGGGTGGTCTTTTGGAGTTTTGTAGTAGATTAAAAAATAATAATATATTATTGGCTAGTAGAAGTGTGTAAGATATTATGAAATTTTTGTCTTTTAACTTTTGTATAAAGTAATTGTATGTATAATGGTATGTTTGTAATTTTGATAAAAATTAAGGGTATTTTGGTACACTAAATGTATTACTCCCTCCGTCTACAGCTTATCTGTCCGTTTACTTTCTGCACATAGATTTTAGTATATTAGTATTATATTGATATGTGTTACAATTGATATACATAAAAACTATTATACCCCTTAATATTTATGGTATTAAGTGGTGTTATTTGATGATATTTGTGTAATATTATATAAAGGGTGGGGTAATTTTATATTTTAGTGGAAGATACATTTACTAAAAATAAAATAGATACATTTGCGATGTACATACTAAAATCACAAAATTGATAGATTGGCAGTGAACGAGGGAGTATTACTTTTTTAAAATAAAAAAGTGATACTTTGAAATGGAACGGGCAAAAATAGTAAAAATGGTACTTTAAAATGAGACGGAATGAGTATTATTTTAATTTGAATATTTGACTTTTTGTAATGGCTATTTGAATTTTTCTTCGACTTTGCAAAAAATATTTTGTGTTATTTATTACTTCCTCCGTCACGCCTATCATTTCCACTTTAGTATAGGTAAAAAAATTTAGAAATGATATAATTAATAAATCATTAAAATATATTAATGAAAATAATTATCGTATAATAAAAATAATTATATATTAAAATTGAGATTGAGATAACTGTCTAATTAAAATTTAAAAAATTATAAATTAAAAAAATTGAAATAAAATTAAAGTGTATAATTTTTTAAAAAAATTGACAAAATAACTAATGAAAATAGAAATATGAGCATAGTAAGTAAGATAGCTGGAGTATTGTTATTTAGATTCGCAATTAAAAAATTGATTTGAATAAACAGAGCGTGAATGGAATCTAAATTTAATATTATCATTGATTTCTACCGGCAATTAGTTTTCTTCTCCTATTAAAAATAAAATTGAAATTATTATAAATGGATACATTAATATTAGTCCATAATATCCTAAAAAAGAATTTTTCTTAAAAATATTTTATTCTATATATTATTTTAAATAATTTTAAATATTTATAATTCACATTCAAATTTTACTAATATTATTTATATAATCATTTATTATTACTTCTTAATATGTTTATAGTATACATAAATTATTATTAAAGAAAATAATATTAAAATTTAAACACAATAATAAAATACTAATTTAGATAAAATAGATCTAAAGTTGCTCCACATGGGAATTTTCGTATATTCTATTATAATCAACAAATATATATATATATATATATATAACAGCACAATATAAACAACATTTCACTAGTCCATAGTTTTTTTATAATATTTTTTTTATTATTATTATTTTATCTGTAATGATTGTTATCGTTTAATATTTGTATTATTAGTGTTTGTAATTTTATTTATTTATTTTTAATGTAACAAATATTATTGCATTTCTATGTAAGTATATTGTTTTAGAATTAAATTAAGATGTTAAATTTTGTATTATTATATTTGTCAATTTAATTTAATTTTAATATATATTTCATGTAATTAAATATTTATTTTATGTATATTTACAACAAAATTTATATATTTTTATTCATTAAAAAATTTAAAATATAATTGTGCGATATAATAAATAAATACATACATAAAATTTTAGTGTAAAAATTTACTTTGAATTTAATTACGAATGTTATAATCATTCAACGTAAAATCAAATACATTGAATATATAATTTAAATTATAAAAAAAAATTATAAAGTTTAATAATTCGTAAATAATTAAAACTTCAAATGTATAATGCATAAATAAAATATGATTATTTCAAATTGGTCAATGCATCATTATAGCAAATACCAAAATGTTACATATACTAAAATTTAAAAAATAACGAAAGCCAAATTTAGCGTGTGTTCTTTCATAATTTTCAAAAAATATATAATTTTTTAAAAAAAATTAATATATTACATACATTATTATTTTTATACTATTTTTTATTTGACATTGCATTGTATCGATGCTAAAATTTTTGCTTTGGTTGGAATCGACACACGCCAAATTACCCAATTTAGAAGCAATCATAACTTTGTTTTGTATTTTTTTGGATGAATGCAATATTTATATGGTATATATCCATTAAATTTTTTTATTTTATTTTTTTATTTGTCTACATAAAATATGTAATTATAATTTATAATAAATATTTATTTAACATTGAAAATATTTTTTATATTTGTATAATTTTTGTATAAATATCATTATATTAATATTATAAAACATAAATAAAAATATTTTTGTCATTTTTTAATTTATACTATATTTTAATATAATAATTAATATTTAAAGATGTAAATGCAATCCTTATCCTTATAGTCATGTGGAACCAGACATAAGCAGTATTTATTTACAAATTATCACAATTGCTTACAAACTTAATTTATCAACTATTTTTTCCACCCCATTCATTAGCTCATATACTTTTTCAAATATTCTTATTTTATATTACAATTAATTAATATAATATTATATTAATTAAAACTCATTTTTCCAACTCAAATGAGCATACAATTAGTGGACATAGAAAGAAAAGATAATATTATGTATTAAATTGTTAATTTTTTAAAAAAAATAAATTATAGTATATACTATTATGTAGTGTATATAGATAGTTATGTGTATATATTTTATTTTTTAATAATATTCATAAAAAATCGTATCAATATAAAATAATTAAGTGAACACACATGTATTGTCAGTAAAAATGAAATGTGGTTGAATACTTAAATTAAGTGTGTTTACCTGTGAGGTTTTGATTGTAATTTAAAATTAACTTCAAATAATATATTAATTTGATTATTTATTTAAAAGTACGTTTAGTAAAATATATATATATATATAATTGTAGAGAAAAGATAACAAAAAAAACTTGGGATGGTAAAGAAATAAATTAGTCTGAAAAATGATGATTGATTATTCGGATTGATAAAATAAAAAATTAAAGTGAGAGAAATGTAATAGATAATAAATTATCATGGTGTGTTCCTTGGAGGCATTGAATTTTAAATACACTATTTATTTTATTCTTTTTTTTCAAAAAATATCAAATCAAACGTCTAATTTTTATTTTTTATATTATAATAAAAATCAATTTTATATTTAAAACATTACATGATCACCTATTTGTATCATGTCATACAACTATTCAAATTTAAAATTTTTACTATTCAAATTTCAACTCAAAATCCAAACATTAGACGAACACACCCTATATGTATCTGGTACAAATTAATAATTTAAAATATAACAATTAATTTATTATTATATACAACGAATGACATGATAACAGCGACAAAGACAAAGGATAAGATTTGAAAGAATATAATAAAAGTAGTTTTTTATAAGAAAATGAAAATGATTTGACAAAAAATGTTTATTTTCTCGAACAAACAAATAAGAGAAATGTATTTATTTCTATTTTTCTGTTATGATTTTATGTACCAAACATCCATAAATACTATTTTGATATAGTTTGTAAAAGAAAAATAAGATCGTTATTTAACAAATTATCTATTTTTTTATTTTGGTCTGTTTTCTAACAAAATATTCGATTATGTTTTTATTAACCTATATACCTAATATTAAAAATATTTTTATAATTTACAATATATTGTATAAATGTTACATTTATATTTTACAATACTAATAATATTATTTTTGTTATTTTTTTTTAATTTGTACTATATATCAATATTTTATTAATATTAAAAATTTTAAGTAAAAAATATGTTTCTTTTGATAAATTTGGAAAAAAATTGATTTAAATTTGGTATAAAAATAATATTTGATGAAATATTTTGTGAGAAGAAAAAAATATACTCTTTCGAAAAAAACGACTGAATCCAAATAATAAAATTTGAAAAAATTATGCTATAAAAACCTACTCTTAATACTTACGAAGGAGGGAGTGTATTTTAAGTGAGAAGTGTATGAATTGAACATTACACAAAATCTAAATTTTTAACGGTCCATCTTTAACTTCATGGGATATTAACAAATTAAATGTGATCGAAATTTATTTGAATTTATTACAAACCAACTCCATAAATACAAATATGAATAAGTATTGGGGTGTGTCGGTGCATTAAACAAAAGATGTAAGAGAGAGAGAGAGATTTCAATTCATAGAAATTCAGCAGAACACAGAAATCAACATCAAATCTTGATTCCAGTTGTCTTTTAGATATTTAATAAATTCAATAAATCCAGACCAAACTAATCATAATTAGTATTTGTTTATGATAATTATTATGAAAAAACACACACTGCACTGATCCTCATCTCATTAATTACTTAATTAATTAACTTAATTACAGATCGAAAGCTCCGATCTTCTTCTTTAATTTTTCATATGATAATAGTGATGTACATACAAATCCGCGGATTAATTACATCGTAATTAATCGGCATTAACTATCCAATAACGTTAATTATTACTAATGAATTAACCTTAATTAATCCGAATCGAATATTAATTACCCAATTCATCATCAACGACCGACAACGATGGCGCGAACCGCCTTCTTCAGCTGGCTTCCGTACCCCCTCGGCCGTACAAAGCACAGCGTCGACGTCGGCGACGCGCCGCCGTCCCCCCGCCGAGCGTCGCACGACGCCGCCGACGAGAACGACGAAGTCGACGGCGACGGCGACAGCGCGAACATTTTCTTCGACGGCGCCACCGATCTCCAAATCACCGATCCGAATCCTCCCGATCTCGAATTCCCCGGCGGCACCTTCGATTTACTCCGCCGGGACGGCGGCGGCGCGTCGTTGCCCGAGTACGAAGGCGGCGGCGTGAGCGGCGCCGCCGCGGCGCTGTGGGCGGAGTGGTGTTTGGGAGTTCCGGGAGCGGACTCCCATACGAAGGGCACGGACCCCGTGGCCCCGCCGTAGTACAACACTCTGAAGCTGGCCTCCCCCTGCTTCCCGGAGTTGTACCTTTCCCTCGACAACAGCCTGGAGAGAAACCTGTCGTCCTGGAGGAACCTGGAGGACCGGTCCCGGGACCCCGTCAGCATTTTCGACATCTACAAAAAATTGAACTTTGGAGATTGGAGATCCAGGAGGTGTGGTGGGCTTTGAGCTCGTTATCTGCATTACTGTTTCTCAATTTATATATATATAGAGAAAGAGAAATTATTTATTTTATTATTATTATTATTATTATTTAAATCGAAATGATGTTGACTGGAAATTTGGGATTATTGCAATAAAAGTTAGGATATTATTTAATTTTTTAATTTAGGGGGGGCAAATTGTGAGGAACCGTAAGGCGGAGATGCGGGGAGATCCCAACCGTCAAAAAATTATTATCGGACGGATGAGGTAAGCCGTGTCGAGTAGTTAAGGAAGGATTTGGTGACAGGTGGGCATGGGGATAATTAATGGCCATTCACTGTTACTTCACTTCATGTGAAATTTTATTTAATTTATTTTATCGAATAAGTATTGTTCACGTAATATACATTTAAATCACAAATATCAATGTAAAATGATTTTTTATATGCGAAATGAAATAGTGGGTGATGGTATAAATTTGATCTCATTAATGTCGAAAAATACATGTGAAATTAAAGAGCCCAAAATTGGTCCACATGGAAAAAGACAGGAATTCAATCATTAAATTGGAGGCTCATAACAAAAGTTAAAAAGAAATAAATTGTCCCATTCTGAAAATTATTTATTGAAGAAAAATATATTATAGAAAAAAAAAAAAAGGTGTGGAAAATGCAATATTAATCTACACAAACAATGGGCGTGTTAATTTTTTTGGATAATATTTTAAATTGAATATGATTTTTTTGTGACGATGAATACTCATTTTCATACTATTAACAAATAATTTCTTAAAAAATTATATTACACCTTATACTTAATATTATTAAAAAAGTTACTATTTATAAAAAGATATTTAAAGCTTAATTCCTATTTTTCATTTAAAAAAATATCATATATAATTATTATCTTTTAATGGTTAAATTGCACAAAATCTGTTTTCTGAAATTGCAATAAATCCTCCATACTTTTAAAACTGCGTTAAACCCCTCGTGGTTTCATAAACTTTGCGTCTAACCCCCTCAGCGGTCCTTATTTAACGGTATTTGACTTAAATGCGCTTAAACTGTGAATAAATTTTAGAATCTCAATTTCTAAACCCCTAAAATTACAAATATATTTATTTTTTATATATTTAGTCTAAAAAAAATTGTAAAGATAAACTCTTAAAATCTGAGAAAAATAACTATTTTTTAGTATATTTACTATTTTTTTAGGGTAATTAAATTAAAAAAATAAATATATTTATAATTTTAGGGGTTTATAAATTGAGATTTTAAAATTTATTCGCAGTTTAAGCGAATTTAGGTCAAACACCGTTAAACAAGGACCACTGAGGATGTTAGACGCAAAGTTTATAAAACCACGAGGGAATTTGACGTAATTTTAGAAATATGAAGAATTTGGTGCAATTTTATGAAACCACGGGTGGATTTTGTACAATTTAGCATTTTTTTTTATTATCAAAACAAACTAACACAAACAAATAATTAAAAAACACAGCTAAATATATACATTTGTATCTTGTAGCACTTGCTTATAACGACATAAATATTATCTTATATTATAAAATAGGCAAATGTTTTTATATAAAATTATTGTCACCGTATTTACTCGACATGTCCACATTAAAATAATCAGAAGCCACACGTCATGCCTTTACGTGATCATCAAAGAACTCATTTTATTGAATTTTTTTTTTTTTTTTTTTAAAAAAGAAGGTATCTACATTTTATAAGATTTACATATAATTCTATGAGCATGAAATCTTTTAAAGTAGTCCAAAAATAAATCTATACGGGTGAATAATATATATTTTTATTAGGAACTGTATGAGGTGCATAACATTATTTCGATTTGAAATTACAATCAAATATTAATATTGACTTATTGTTTTTTTCATGATAGTTTTGAAAAATAATTTTATTTATTTATTTACTTTTGATTTGAATAGTAATTATTATTATGTAATAAGAGTATTTTGTAATAAAAATGAAAATTTTTTATAGAAAATAATCCAATATGACATAACAAAAAACTTTAAATTAAAATAAAAATAAAATAAAATAGTCTAGTTAATTAAGCATGCATTTCATTGCATATGGTGGCCATTAAATTTTCTGGGCATAGTAATGATTCATAGCTGTGTCTTGCTCAACAACCTTATTTATGTTCTTCAATTATTATTATTATTATTAGATGAAAAAAAATGATAAATTATTTTGTGTGTGTGTTTTTTTATTATTCAATCATAATGATTTTTATAATAATATATTGTATTTTCTTTCATATGATATATTACACCAAAAATACTATTTAAATTGAAAATCAATTAAAATTTTAATTTTGAATCAAAATCAAACAAATCATTTAAATTAAGAAAAAAATAAAAAGAAATTCAAGGGAAAGATTGATCAGCATAAAACTTTTACAGTGTATGCTGATATATGTTTTTAAATTTGCTTTGGCAATTGGCATACTTCATTGATAATTTATTTTTAAAACATATCAAATGAAATATTTTTTTTTTATTCTATTATTAAATGAAAATTTTACTTTCATTAAAATATTGCATGCAATAACTATTTATATCATATCAAATATATACATAATTTTAATTTTTAAAATTATTAAATAAAAAAAATTCAAGTTGTGTTTGCATGGAGGTTTCGATTTTAGATTTATATTTTGAATAGTAAAATTTTTAATGTGAATTGTTATTTGATGTAATATAAGTGTATTATGTGATATTTTGAATGTAAAATAAATTTTTAATATAATATAAAATATGAAACATAAATATTTGATTTTATATTTCCAAAGAAAAAAAATATATATATATATATATAAATAGTAAAAAAGTTGTAAAAAACTTAAAAACACAGCCCAAAAACACTTTCAAAAACATATATTTATTTAACATGACATTAATAACTCTTTAGGATGTGATGTAACATAAGTAATTTAAATTAAAATACTACAATAAAAAAAGCAAGTTAGATTATCATTCGATTAAAATTTAAGAATATTATATTTGAAATAAAATAGAAATATTTTGAAAAATATAGGAGTAAGTTAACGAGATTAGAAAATATTTTTGATAAAATAAGTGTGTAACTAATTATGAAATTTTTTGAATAAATATAATGTTTAAATATATAAATTAAAATATACTCTTATCTAAGAGTTATTTATTATAGATGAAAATTACATATTTTTTAAATAAAAAAGAAATAGATATACATTTAATAGCGTAATAGAATATTAATTTCGGTTTGAAATCATAACGAAAGATACCCCTATATATATTTTTTATTCAATTAAATGTGCATGGCATGAAAAAAAAACATATAATTAAAATATATGCATATTATTTAATCATTATAGTAAAAAAAATTAAATAATTTTTGTAACAGAAACTATAAAAAAACAATAAAAATATGTATGGTTAGTGAAGGGATCCAATGGCTAGATTTGCTCCGGAATCAACGGCAGAAAACCATTTTACAGTCACGTGCAACTCACCCATGCACGTGACCTTTTTCACATGCTTTCATCTTTTCTTCCCAATTTATAACGTAACAAATAAATAAAAGGGTAAACTGATACTTTAGTCCCGTAACTGGACCCTTTATCATTTTAGTCTTATAAGTGGAGCATGTCGCAAACTAGTTCCATAAGTGAAAAATTTTCGCTATTTTAGTCCTCCGGTGCCGGAGACGTCCGCGTGGCTCGCCGGAGGTGATGTGACACCCGGCAGACACGTGGATTTATTTTTATTTTTTTCATTTCTTTTTATTTTTTTTAATTAGACAAAATAAAAAAAAAAACAAAAAAAATTTAAAAAAATTAAAAATAAGTTTAAAAAAAATGAAAAAAAATTAAAAAAATCCACGTGTCCGCCAGGTCAGCGACACCGGGCGGACACGTCACCTCCGGCGAGCCACGCAGGCATCTCTAGCGCCGGATGACTAAAACAACGAAAATCTTTCACTTATAGGACTAGTTTGCATGCTCCACTTACAAGACTAAAGTGATAAGGGGGTCCAGCTACGGGACTAAAAAACAGTTTACCCTAAATAAAAAGATATTTGTAATTCTTTCTCATTTTCTATATTTCATTGTTATTAAGACTATTGTTATTCAAATTTATTCTCACTTTTATTTTTAGTAAAAAATATTATTTTTTCTATTTTATCTTTATTATAAAAGAAAAAAATTTATATATTTTTTTATTTTTCTTAAAATTCTTACTCAGTCAAATTGATATACTTTTACATACGAAATGAGTATTATTTTCATTGTTTTCGATAAAAATATATTACTTTGAAATAGAAACATTAAGGGGTTGTTTGGTTCATTAATTTTTTTTAATGAGTTTTAGGTTTTACAGTAGAATTTATATTCTCTCAGTCCCTTAATAATTTATCTATTTTTTCATTTTGTTCTGTCTCATAAAGTATCTATTTCTTTTTTTCTATTAATTGTACTATCTACCCAACATTACAAATATCATTCAAATTTACAATATATTACACAAATGTCATTACTTTATATCATCAACAATACCAATAGGGTTAATTTAGTCTTTTTATCTTTATTTCTACTTTATCCCAATATAATACTAATATTTCTAAAATTTCATGCAAAAAGCAAATAGATATATAGATATGAGACGAATGAAGTATATGATAAGATTTATTGCATTTATGATTTGAAAATTTTATATTTTTCAAATTCAGTTTGGTTTGTAGGTTAATTGAAGAATTTAAATTTTCTTATTTTTAATAAAATAATTATTATCCCACCAATTTTATTTGTTGTGATTAATTAAAAACATTCATATATCTCTTTTTTTTGAACTTTAATAATTGTTTTTACCAAATTAGATGTATTCTAAAAAAAAAAATTTAATACAACTTTTGATTGATATTAAAAAATATAATATATATATATATTCATACAAAACATATAATAGGATATAATTTATACACATAAAAAATACAGCAATTCAATATAAAATATTATGTTTATACTTAGA